TAATCCTTTGGAAAAGCCTGTTAAGCAATGCACAGCCCTGGTTGATGCTACTGTGGAAGATTGAGAGACAAGTAACAAGAAGCAGTAGCACTTCTCTGCTGAGCCTCCTTGAGGGTCAGGACAGTGTAGCGGCACTGCTTGGGGGTGGGGGGTCCATAGACCCGGAGAACCAGGATGGAGGCTGCAGGTGAGCGAGCCCACATGGCTGGGAAGGAGGAAGAACAGGCAACGAGAAGCAGCAGCAGTGGAACCATGGTCTTCCCCGGAGAAGATGACCACGACCCGGAAGCTGACGGGGACCGATGAACCGGAAAGTCTCCACCATGTGTAGCTAGGCAAAAAAGCAGCTACTGATCCTTTAGTGAGAAGAAATTACACCTATGTGAGCATGCAACAGTCTCCCCTGCCTCCCGTCCAAAGCTTTGCTTTCTGCAGTTTCAGCTACCCACAGCCAGCTATGGTCTGAAAATATGGAATGGAAAATTCCGGAAATAAACAATTCATGGTTTTAAACTGCCCACCATTCTGAATAGGGTAATGAAGTCTTGCACAGCTCCCATCCATCCTGCCCAGATGTGACCAACACTTTGGCCAGCACATCCACGCTGTGTGTGAATCACTTGGGAGCTGTCTTGTTACCAGATGACTGTCGCAATTCTTGTGTTCAAGGAGTCCTCACCGAGTAGTCTAAGGTCCTGTCACAACCTCTACATCATTCATGGCATTGCCATCACTTTGTCTCATCACACAGGCGCACTGTGTCCTCTCACATCACAAGAAATAGAAGGCTGAGCGCAGTACCTAAAGATACATGATATGTATTTCATATAGATAGACAGATCACATTCTATAGCTTATTACGCCATACAACTGTTCTAATTATGACGCCATACAATCATTCTAGTTACTGTTGTTCTTTCCTTACTGTGCCTAGTTTATAAATTAAACTTCATCATAGGTACACACATATAGGGAAACGTAACGTAGAGAGAGGCTAGTCCCAGCTGCAAAGTCAGCATCCACCGAGCATCGTGACATATATATGCCCAGCAGATAAGGGGCCACTGTATGTGAATGGGAAAAGATCAGATACACCCAAAATCTGGATGGTGAGTGTTCCTGGGTAGGAAGCTACTGGGCAGGTTGGTAAGGTTTGCATAATACAAAGGGGTCGCTGGGTAGTGTTGTATGAATGGAGTTAATATTCTGTGCCTGCCACTTTTCTAATGGCTTTTACATACTAATTGACACATGTCCACTTATGAAAACATTTAACCCACTCTATTATTGATGAAGGACCCACTCTATTACCCACCCACTCTATTACTGATGAAGAAAAGTTATGAATGATTTTAATAAACTTTCTTTAGGTCACACAGTTTGCAGCACAGCCTTTTCTGGAGCTATATCTTCAGATGTTACATTACTTGTTTTATTATTTTTATTTTAATTAATATTTATTTATTTATTTTTGGTCCTGGGGATCAAACTCATGACCTTGTGCTTGCGAGGCAGGCACTTGTGTTGCTGAGCTATATACCTTCCCAGATGAGCACGTGTTTGAAAATCTGTGTCCCGGGTGGTGTCATTTAGTTCCCAGGTGGTTACTGAACGGCTCAGACTTCCTCACCCAGCTCTGACCGAACGCAAACCAAAATGGCTCCTCGGTGAACATGTTTAGAAGGCCTCGTCTGGCCTCCTCCCTCTGACCGCCTATCAGCCCCGTCCCTCGCCTTCACTGCTTTCCTCTTCATTCAAAAGGTTTCTTATCAGGCACTTAAAATGTGTTGACTAGCTTACTTGATTTATTCTCTCTTTGCTTTTACCAATATTTACTTTATTATAACATAATTAGGTAAAGATTGAGCTATTACTACAGGCCAGGCGTGCGGGTAAGCACCTTGCAGAGTGCCTCTCCTGTAACTCTTGGAACGGCTTTACCAAGTAGATGCTCTGATTAGCCTAGAGACAAAGCTTTGGAGAGGTTAAGTCTCTTGCTCAGCATCACAAAGCAAGTAAATACTGGGCCCGGGATTTGAACTCCAGTCTGTCTCACTCCAGATCTTGCAACCTTAACCGTTTACTGCTGGTTTCACACTGTGGCCACCATGGTGAGGGAGTGAACAAGACTCCTTTGTCCTGGCTCTCAGAGTATGCATTGACATCCTTGAGGTATAAGCCTGCTTCCCTTCCCTGCCTGGCTCTATTACTTTTGGCTAAGAACCATGGCAACCCGGAATAACCCAGGCCTCTCCGGCTTGCATTCTTGGCATGCTGGCTGGACCACTGTGTCTCATTTGCACTCATTACATCACTAGCCTGGTCCTGAGTGGAGAAGTCAGAATTTCCTTGTCTTCACGTTTATGTATACACCTTTTCAGTCCGTCAGTCTGTCAACAAGAGTTTTTCTGCTTGCTTTCTGTCCCCTTTGCTCTATTCTGGCCCCGTTCTAACTTTCCGTGTCTCTCGTGGAGCTTGGTTTCCCTTTGGGCTAAGAAAACCCACGGCTGCCTTTCACTTGACTCCCTCCACTCACTGGAGCCAGTGACCCATGACTGAAGACTCGCTTCCCTTTCTTGGGGATCCGGGACCCTGTTTTTGCAGCGGTGTGCAGAATGAGGACCTGGAAATATTCTCCTCCAAACTGTGTATACAGGGAGACAGGAAGGATGAGTCCACCTCTTCTCCTCACCATGCCAAGATTGAAAACTCTTCCTGCTGGGATTGGTCCAGTTAAGACTGGGCAGGGTTACACAGGCAATTATGGGACAGCAGGTGGCCTTCCGGGTAAACACATGGTGACAACATAGAGCTGAGGACTCAGGGGGCACCACCTTGCAGACCCACTGAGCCATCGATGACTCCCTCGACTCTCCAGTTTTCTGTTCCTTCTATCTGGTAGGAAAAGGCTTATGTTCCCGAAAAGGCTCCTTGGGATGGAGGAAGAGTGTTTCTTGACTTTGCGTTATTTTTCATACATGTCTCCTGTAGTCCAATCATAAGCGAAGGAGAGAGCTGCTGTCTGAGTCAGCCCCCAGGCAAAGGGAATCGCAGCTCTGAATGGCTGTTGGGCAGACAGCAGTGTCAGCCACAACAAAGTAATCCGAACGTAGGTTTACAGAAAACAAGGAATTTGGGTTAAGTGAAAACATACACTCTTCAAATGTAAAGTAGACATATGTTTTATTCATGAGCTACAAAATAAGAAACAAATGTACAGAAACATGTCCTGAGATACGCTAGGCTCGGAGTACAAAGATTATGTCTGCAGGCTTCAGCATGTCTGTCTCCTTGCAGCAGGTGAGACTTTTAAGTGGAAAATCTGCCAAGATGGAAGCCAAGGAGACAATGGAAGACCAGTGATGGAGTTTTAATGCGGATTCTCTGGAGTGCAGAATTGCTGGATCCAACTGATGGGTCCCAGTCATCTCAGCGTGGGATGCGTGAAGTGTGTGCCGCGGAGTCCTCTGAGGAGCTGGCCTGCCCTCCCTTCCTCTCGAGATTCCAGAGTGTGATCCTCATTTGAGCCAACTGGTTCTCTCTCCATCCAGGTGCATGAACCCGGAGCAAAACACAGAGAGACAAATGCGACCAGAGTTAAGTGATAGCACGGAGATCCCTAAAAAGAAGAATTAGAAGCACCTGCTATGCATCCTCTTCGTCTCCAGTCCTCTCCGGGTTTAACTATTCAATTCTTTTTTCTCTATCCACAAACATTTTAGCTCCTTCTACTGTGAGGCCTACTGTGTGAACTGGGCACTGTCTGGAGACAGAGAGCAAACAAGGATGACAGTATCTCACACAGTCCAACTGGGAAGGCTGATGACCAAGAAGTAAACAAGGTACTTACAGACGACACCAGTGCTGTGAAGAAGTAAGCAGGGCGGGCGATGTGACGGAGACCAGCTGGTGAGGCCCCATCTGATGGATCGGTCCCTGCACCCAGAGTCAGTTTCTGTTGCTTGTCATCCTCCTGCCAGACTCATGGAACAGAAAGGAATCCATCAGGCTCTTTCATAGCTGGAAACAGTACCTGCTGGTTCATGGAGCCTTTCTTCCTCTTTTCTTTGGCTTTTTATTTGACACAGGATCTTGCTGTATGGCATAGGCTGGGCTTGAACTCACAGCAGTCCTCCTGCCCAGCCTCCTGGATGCTGGGATTACAAGTGTCCACCAGGCCTGGTGTCCTCCTCCTTCTAATTCCATTCATCCAGACGATATCTTGATAATTAATTTTACTTGCCAAGAAAAGAGATTGAGAGAGTATATTAACATGCACAGACCATTCTAGGGAAAGGTGTTTTGGAGAGCTGATGGAATTTTTCTTGCCACTGCTTAATAATAAGAGAGCTTTCTGGTACAAATCTGACTTGTGTTGAGTCTGGGCGGTATGAGTCAATGCTCCCAGGGTCTGATGTCATTCCTGGCTGACATGATGGCTCCAGACAGACACAGCTTGAGAAGACAGAGCTCGTACTGGGGTAACGCGGCAAGGTACAGCAGCCCATGGCACCTGGCTTGGGGTGTCTGCACACCTTACTCATCATTCTTTAATGCTACGGATTAATTCTGAAGTCCCTTAAGCCTCGTGGTACTAATGAGGAAAAGTGGACCAGAAGAAGTGAGGAGACCCAAAAGGACTTCCAGTGGTCACGTAGCTAGCCGGTATTTGGTACCAGTCTAGGACACAGCTCGGGTCAAGAACATAAATATTTTCATTTTGGAGCCCTGGCAGTGAATTTCAGCTACTTTACTCATGGAAAAGAACATCTGAAGACAAATCACTTTTAATTCAATGCAAGGTGGGTGAAGGGGTGGAAAGGTAGGTTTCAGCTGCATGGTGAAGGCTCCCGAATGTCTTGCTGTGCGGTTAGACTTGCCCTCAGGAGCTAGGAGCCCTTGAAGATGTGGAAGCAAGGGAGGTGGGGTGATCAGACCAGTGTTTTAGGGAGCTAAGCTGGATGGGAAGGGGAGAAACTGAGGATGCAGAGCAACATTAGAGGGTCTAAAACAGTCTCAGGTAAGGGCTGATAAAGGCTGGCTCTAGGGTATGGGGAATACAAGGGAAGAAATACATTTAAAAGGCATCACAGTGATATTAATAGGTCTTGGGGGAATGAGAAGAGGGAGGGATCTAGTTTTGTAGCAGAAAATGCCCCCTCCTCAGCCAGTCTGCTGGTTGCCCAGGTAACAGTTCCTGTTACAAGTTCCTGTTACTTCTGTCTCTTAGCAAGGGCTGCTCACTGTGATGCATAGTGGAAGAACCAAAGACATCCAAGCACTCTGCCTCTGTATTTTCCCTTTCAACTCCATAAAATCCTGTTTTCAGAATGATCCCCATCTTGTGCCTGTTGATGTACAAATCTACCTCCAAATGCCGGGTGTCGTTTAGGTGTTTCTGCTGCAGTTTGAGGGTGACTGGGTGGACGGGGAAAAAGACTAAAGAAGCCAAGATAAACTGGGGAGAGGCACGGAGGATGCGGTTGTAACTAGTTTACTCCTGGGCGTCTGGGGAACATTTACCGAGCTGTGTAACCCCTGGACCTACCAAACACAGCTTGCAGAGCAGCCTCTGTGGCTGCACTGTTTCTTAAAATCCTGCTGAGAACCAAGGATGAAAATGAAAGAAGCAGGACAGAGGCGGTTTAAGGCAACAGAAACTGATCGTTTGGGGGATACACAGCAGAAAGAGGAAGGAGGTAAGAAGTGCAGGAGGGATGAGGGGAAAGCAACCCCAAAATAAACAAGGCTGAGAGGAACCACACAGGAAGAAAGGAAAGAGAAAAAAATGATGGGAAAACGTGGAGCGGGAGGCTGTGAAAAATGCAAGGCTGGAGTGTGCAAGGCAGGCTTCGGTCCATGGGGTGGGGTCCAGCGTTTCTTCCCCCATGCCACTCTTAGAAACACCACCTTAGCTATGCTCGTGTGAGAGGGATTTTACGGAAAGGAGCTTGCCTGGAAGTGGGGTCTCGGGGCTCACTTCACGTCCACCAGTCGCCTTTAAAAACACTGCTCCTCCCTTTAAAAATTCGCTTGGGAAAATGTGGAAGGCAGGCGGGAGGCACACATATCAAACCTCCTCCTGGTATTTTTCTTTATCGTCTTCCTCTGCACCTTCCTTTGGGTTTGCCGGGTCAAAAGGGCAGAACTTCCTGTCTGAATTTTCAAGCCTCTGTCGCCTTGATTTTGTTCCTGGCTCAGTGGCGATGAAGACAAACCATTGTGCCTTGTGAACGGTCACGGAGGGTTGAAAAGACTCAGAGTGCTTTTTCGAAAACCTGTCTCAGGGAGAATTCCCAGTGGGGGAGACAAGGAGGGTCAACTCCATCCAGGAAGGAGAGTTCTAGCTGCTCTGAAAATCTCTTTTTCCAAGTAAATTCATAAAAGTTTTTAAAAATGAATACTATTTGCCACTGGTTGATAACTTCCACCCAGGACTTATGAAAACTGAAGCTTCTGGGCTTTCTGATCAAATTGACACGTAGTGTCATGCAGATATACCATGTGCCCACCTGTGTGTGTATTGTGTAGGTGCAAAACCACAGCCAGTCCTGCTCTTCTGATTCTTTGTAATTTTATTGTGGAAAAATCAGAGGGAAAAAAATCTCTCTTAAAATTTCGTTCTCAGGATAGCGTGTACTTCTCCGACTCTAAGGATTGCTATTCAGCAAGAAAAAAATCAGACAATCTCAGTCCTATGGAGATCAACTCTCACATCCCTTTGGCTGGCTGTGGAGGAATTATTACGTGGTCACTGTGTTATCTTCTCTTTTTTGTTCCTCCCCTAAACAAATGTGAAATATTGTATTCATCATCAATAAATATTAGTGGTGTTCCATTGCATGTCAATCAACAGTGCTACCACTGGTGTGAATTTTCTTTTTTACAAAGCATTTAACCTTTTTTGAGACTCAGCTTTCTCATCTCTAAATTGAGAATTATATGCCTGACGTGAAGTATATCTGAGCTGATGTGTGCGAATTTTCTTTGTGGATCTTTGAGGTTGACCCATGCCAAGGCACTTACCAGCCTGGATGAGCTCTCATGGCTTAATAAATCTTTGCAAAGAGTCATAGTAATCAGAGAGCTGCAGCTCTGTACGACCTCGTGTGGAGCTCCTAAGTCTCTTCATCTGAGCTGTAGCTGTGTGATGCCAGGAGACTCAGCATGGGTAACATTCTGTCCACACAGGATGCTTCTCAGTGGGCAGACAAGCTACACTCAGAGATGCTCAAAATGGGAAATCATCAGAGCTGAGCTGTCAGCTTCGCCCCAGTGAATGCTCACATTAGTAACGCATGGTCTGCAGATCAGTACAAAGAGGAAACTTTTAGACAGTATCCACGTCAGTCTGTGAGTGTTTGTATCAGTCTTCAGAGCACGCCACGCCCCAGAGATGACAGGAAAAACCCGTGTTGCCAGTAAATGTAGAGGATACTTTTTAAAATCCACAACCTTGAAAAATAGAATTCACTCAAAAACTTTTTGCCGTCTTTCTATGGTCTTAAAAATTACTTTGAGCACAGGGAAAGAAACAAGGGCAGGTAGGCTTGAATCTTTGTGTTCCATTTTCTAGCTTTGTGCCACACATATTACACATCTTGGCTCCCTCATCCATGAAATGGGGGAGTAATATTTACATTGCAAAGTTTTTAAGAGAATTTGAGACAAAATATGTAAAGAACTCACAGTTGTGACTAATAAGAGTTCAATAAACAATAACTATTTTCAGCCACATAGGGAAATGATTTTTTTATTTTAAAAACAAAACAAAAGAAATGACATAGAATTTCCAAAAAATAGGAAATTAACACTAATTAATATATTGCTTATTGTTATCTTAGAAGTAGTTGTTCAGGTTACAAGATTTAGGCATGACAAAAATGATCAAACAGTGAGAGCACCAACTGTTCTTTTTGATGAACTTAGAGATTAATAGTATAGTTATCTATCTTATATATACACATTTATGTATTTGCACATGTATATATATATATACACACGCATACATATGCCTACCTATCTGCATGTAATCTTTTCTCTTCTTCTCTTTTCTCCTTTCCCCTATTCTAGTTGTTATTTCCTTTTGAGCACTTTCTTTCCCTTTCATTTTAATAATATCTATTGTACGTTTTGGATCTTATTATTCTTTCAGCTTTTTTATGCTAGGAAGACAATACAACATTTACACACGTGAGTCTGATTTATTTCACTTCTGAGTATGGTCTCAGATTGTATCCATTTATCTACAAAAGCCTCAAGTTTATCTTTTCTAAGCTGAGTAATACTCCCCTCTATAAAAATACCACATCTATTTTATCCATACCCATTGATGGGTATTTGGGTTGTTTCCAAGATCTTGCTGTTTTAAATTGTGCTGCTATATACATGGGTGCATAAATATCACTGTGGCATGATGTTTTCAATCCTTTGGGGAAAATACCCAGAAAGGAAAACCTGGATTGAATGGGACCTTCAGTCCTAGTTTTTTGAGGCGTCTCCACACTAATTTCCACAGCAGTCGCACCAGTCTGCATTCCCACCAATCGAGAAGAGTTCCTTTTTCCCTACAGACCCTCCTGCATTTTTTATTGATTGACTTCTTGATAGTAGCAATTCTTTCTTGGGTGAGGTGGAACCTCAGTGATTGGGGGGGGGGGGAGTAACCAGGGATCGAAATCACGACCTTGCGCTTGCCAGGAAGGTGCTTATGCTACTGAACTAAATCCACGGCACCATAAGTGATGTTTTAATTTGCATCTCTCAAATGACCAGTGATGTTGAATATTTTTTTCACATATTTATTTGCTGTTTTGTATTTCTTCATCTGAGAAGCATGTATTCATCTCAGATGCCCATTTTTGGGTTGGGTCTTTGAATTTGGGACAGCTGATATTTTTCAATTCTCTATATGTTCTAGATATAAGTCCTTTTTAGAAGGGACAGTTGGTTGAAATATTTTCCTATTCTGTCAGTTTTCTTTTCACTCTGTTGGTGATTTCTTTTTAAGTGCAAAAGCTTTTTAGTAAGATGAGATCTCAGTTGTTGATTCTTTGAAGTACTTCCTATGCAGTTTGCATTTTGTTCATGAGCTCTTTGCTGACCCCTATGTCTTCAAGATTTCTACCTATCTTGTCTTGCAGTAGATTTAGTGTTTCTATTTTAATATTTAGATCTTGGATCCATTGTGACTTTAGTGCATGGTCATAGACATGATCTAGTTTGAGTCTTCAGCTTGTGGAAACTCAATTTTTCCAGCACCATTTATTAAAGAGACTGTCTTCCTTCCAGTGAGCATGTTTGACCCTTTTGTCAAAGATAAGATGGCTGGGTGTCTTTGTATTGTGTCTGCATCTTCTAATCTGTTCTACTGATTCTCAGGACTTTTTTTTTTTTTCCAATGTCACACTGGTTTTATCCCAGTAGCTTTGTAGTAGAGTTTTAAGTCAGGGATTGTGAAGCCTTCTGTCTTACCTTTGTTTCCCAAGATTGCCTTTGCTACTCTAGGTCCCTTCTGTTTCCAAATGAATTTTAAGAATGTTTTCTCTAGATCTGTGAGGTATGTAAATGATAGTTTGATTGAGATTGTATTAAATCTGTGTAACAGTTTTGGAAGTGAAATTATGATTTTTTGAGGCAGCTTTCTCACCTCTAAGTTCAGAGTACCTGCTACTATCATTCTGTTGCTGTTGTTGGTGTCATGTTGAGACAGGGTTTCTCTACGTAGTCACTGTCTAATCCAGGCTGGCCTTGAGCTCATGGTGATCCTCCTGCCCCAGCTACCCTAGTGCTGCATTATAGGTATGTGTCAACTTGTCTAGATCTAACATTTCTACACATTTTATAGCATAGCACAATTTTTCCTGTACTGGTGTAATGTCTGGAACTATTTTAGACAGAAAGAAAAAAATATTTAAGAGTTCATTGAAATTAAATGTTGCCCTAAATTATATAAGCATAAAGTTATACAACTACACAACTATTTAAAAAATTAAATTTAAGAAGCCAAACAATTTACAACAATAGTAAGAATGTGAGAGATGGTGTTTGGACTAGCACTGACCCTGGGAGCTATATAGCATGCTCTTCCCTGTACCCAGCTTTATTTTTCTAGTGCCCCCTACCCCATCTTGTTTGTATGGCATTCTGTGATGCCCTTTGGCTTTCTTAGCCATCACTTAGGAGTCAAGTCTGCCCATGTTCCTTTTTCATTAGCCATAGGTAATTACAGTGGCACCATTTCATGCCAATATGACAATGAACACAAACACAGACTCGGCCACGGACCTCTGGTGTGGTCCCTGTGATCCCATGATCGATGATCCCAAGTGATCCAAGATAAACTAACAGTAACTTTTAAAGGCTATCACAGAAATGTACACACAATATCACCACATTTTAGAATGATCTCTACAAACTCTCAGCCATGCAGAGATCTACAGACCTCACTTTAGAACCATTGATGTGATCATTAGGTCTATGAGTTTGCCAGCAGACCACCAGGGTTCAAACCCAGCTTTCCACATGGTATCTGTGTGGTCTTGAGGGAGTTCGCTCACTCAGTCATTCAACAAGGATGCATTTGTTGTATTCCAGTATTTTCCTGGACACTGGGGATACAAGAGGATCCAAGAAAAACAAGGTTTCTGCCCTTGTACAGCTTATACCCTAGAATCTAAGGAAAGAAATCACTTAAACTCCTCCACAAATCAAAACCTCTATACCTGTAAAATGGGGAGAACGGTGGGGATAAGAGCGGGCCTAACTGGAGAGCTGCTGGGTCAGTGGATAAAGATGCAGGTTGGGAAGTTGTGCTGGGTTTTCCGCTTTGTTCCTGTGGCTCCAATCTCCTTCATTCTCACCGTCCTCTGTGCATGGGGAGCTGAGCTGTGTGATCTGATCCAGGCTTTCTTGCCTTCCAACTTTTATGGACTTCATCCAGCAGGCCTGGTGTGGTGGACAACACCAGGAGGGCGAATGGGACTAGGTATCTCTTCCCAGGATCCTTGACCCCTGCAGACAGAGGCCACATAACTCCACTGAAGGTCGCAGCTCCTGCAGTGTGCCCTCCTCCTGTAGCTTTAGCTCCTCTAGGAAACCTTGCAGTGGTCACCACACCAGCTGCTCCTGGCTCCGTGTCCTTATGATCTTTTCCTGGTTTCTTTTCACCCTTCTTCATATCTTTGTAAATTGTCCCCTTAACCTTTCTGCAGTTACTCCATTGGATGGGCCACTGATTTGCCTCTGGGAGTCTGGTTGTGAATCACACACAAAGCATGAATGTCACTCACAACCTTACATGTGCAAGAAGGCTCATGGAATTTGTTTTGGTTGAATAAAATTAAATCTGTCTTCAGTCTCTCGTTCCCTTGAGTTGGCAGGAAATCCCAAGCCCACTCTCTAAGGTCTTGCTAGAGTATGGAATTCTATTCTTTTTTTATTTGGCAGTGGGTCCTTGTGCTCATGCTGAGCACACACCCTACCAACAAGGTGCACCCTAGTTTTGCCCTCCAGTGATGCAGTGATGCACTCCATCTGTCAGTTTCCTCTATGTCCAAGTCCATTGGTGGGTTAGGCCATGGGCCATGCACAGTGTCTTCTCTAAAGGGACACCATTCATGTTAGAGACCTAGTGTGTTAATCAGTGCTCCAGTACTGTAACAAAAACCTGAGATAAACAACTTGAAGATGGAAAGGTCTCTGTGCTGGATTGACAACTGGAGGTCAAATGGTAACGCCCAGCTGAACTAAATCAGTGGGTGTGGATGGCCCACCTGAGGATTGTTGCCAACAGCATAAAAAGAGCTGGAGAGGAAGAAGTAGTGTTGTTGGTTCTCCTGTTGACATTG